ATGGACGTGACCCATTACAATGGTAGCCATTTTCTTGTGCTCATTGACTGTGGTCCCTCCCATTTTGCAATATGGCGGCCACTGAGACGGCAAGACTCTGCTGGTGTCATTCGTCAGCTAGAGACAGTCTTCTACGAACGAGGCCCGCCGACTGAAATACTGACTGACAATGACACCACGTTCACTTGCAGACAATTTAGGGAATTTGTAAACAGCTGGGGCATGCATTTGAGGTTCCGGTGCGCTTATGTGCTGTCTGGAATTGGCATTGTGGAACGCAACCACAGAAGCGTCAAAACCATAGCGGCCAGGAAAAATTGTTCAGTCTTGGAAGCGGTTTACTGGCATAACGTCACACCTAAGGACAACCTTTCACCTTCTACGGCACCGGCTTATGTACTGCACACATACCACGTCCGGGTGAGAGGCATCAACGCGACGTCCCCGCCTGAATCACAAATAACCGAAGGAGAATACAAGAAAGAGGACATTGTCTGGGTTAAGACTCCACGTGGTAAATGCACGACCAAATTTGGAACCGGACGTGTGACAGAGGTGGTGAGTCAGCAGTCAGTGCGGGTCGATGGAACGCCTCGTCATGTTAGAGACCTGCTCCCTTTTTTGGGCTCAAATCCCACAACTGACGAAGAAGACACAGAGGATAGTGATCAGCCAATATATATAGAGTTGGATTCAACAACCAATCACTCCGATAGCAGTAGTTTGCCAATAGATCGGGACTTGTCTAATGAGAGCTCCTCTGATGAAGAAGTTCAACCAATCCCCCTTCGGAAGAGCACCTGGAACAAAAGACCGTATCCTCACTGTCATCTGTGTGATCAGGAGATCAGTGGGGAGTGTGGCGGACATGAGACAGAACCTGGGACGAGCACAACTGGTCGCGACTTGCCTTGTCCCTTAAAAAAGAGCCCGTGATTTGCTTAGCATGCAAAGCTACTGCAGTTGAAATGAGGGAGAGAAAAAAGCACTTACCGCTCTGCCGTAATCCATCCTCGGCCAGATAACGTAAAAGAATGAGTGGGGACTGGCATCGCATTTTTATGCAATAATGATGCAATGCATTATGGAACATGGACGCAATGAATTATGGGATCACATGAATACGCAAGGGATTATGGGTACATGAACAACTATAAAAACAACTACTTTTTTCAGAGTCGGGGAGTTCTTCGAGGGACGTTCACGGTTGACGGCAAGAACGGGCAGTTAGTGTGATTTTGAGACAGAACTCAAGAAGGAACGACTCAAGGTTGAAATACCGGCTGGGAGAGCTTGAATTTACTCGCTGGTTACTGTTTTCTTCATTCGCCTAGTAACTTAATAAAACCTGACTAATTTTTGTTCATTATTTGCATTATTCAGACTATTGTCCCCATCTTTGTCGCCATATTTATTACAACGTTTTGGCTGTTGTATGCTGCAGACTTCTTCAGGTGGTTGGAATGTTGAAATTAACCCTTTATTTCACTCACTGGGAGTAGTGTGTTCTAGTTCCACGTGCCATGTTTAATGGACGTCAGTTATCTCCTGTTAATTTCCTCAAGGACACATGGCACAGTGGTTAAAGGCATTGGTTAGATCCAGTGACAGGACCCAAAGAGTGTGAGTTCAATACTCGATTAAGGCAGTGGAGAACTTTCAGAAGGAAGCAAAATTAGAGCAACCCAAACATCATCTTTTTCTCTCCCCCCCCCAATTAATTTCACTTAAGTCTGCTAACAATAGAATAAGAAAATGATAATTCTGATCTTTATTTTCTAACTTGATTTTTTTTTTTTTTTATTACACTTGCTTGTAGGGGTGGGAGGGAATCTCTTCTGCTTATAAATACTATATATATATATATATATATATATATATATATATATATATATATATATATATATATATATATAATTTAATCTCAGAAATAATGAATCTTTGCTTATTGTCTTTATATTTGGGATTTAATTTCTCAAGCAGTTAATTGTGCAGTTATATTACCTAAACCAGTTGATCATCTTTAGTTGTTAAGGCTCTGTTGAAGTTTCATTAAAACACTTTGGGCAGTTTATCACCTGAAAAACTTGTCTTCCAGGTGTGGGTTTCAGAATGAAGTCACTTGTGACAATTTACAAAATGTGGGAAAACTTGTCTTGCTTCAGCTCACTTCAGAATGTAGATGATCATGGCTCTCCACAATTTCCAGTCATTTGTAGCTCTTAATGTGACGGTTACACACCTGGCCCAGTGTCGGATCCTTTGGTTACGGCGCCAACGGTGACGTCGCTCCTCCTGGTCGCTCCTCCTGGGTCCAAGCGTGCCGCTCCAACCCTTTGGTCAGATGATCACCAGCCTCGCCTTTCCCGACTCGCTTCCAATACCTGGTCACTAAAGCAACTATACCGATCTCCGGTCTGTCTACCCACGCTGTGTTTAGATCTTAGACAGCCGGGACCAGCAGGGATCGGGGCCGATACAAGTTGAGTCCGACGGGGTGGCAAAACACAAATAAAATAAAAACTCACGACACCAAACAAAATTGCTGATAAAAGGGTAACAACCTTTTTATATCTTAAAGTCCGTTACATAAAAACAAAAGTGTTCTCATTTCCCGACCCGCTCTGTGGACTATGGCACCAAGCTTCTATCACACAATAGAAAATGTCGAATTACCTACTTTCTAGAATCATGTATGTATGTCGGAGTGTGGTTCAGTTCGACACTGGGGCTAATTTCTATCGATCATTCGTGAGTTGATTCTTCTCTCCGACTTGAGTTGTATTTCTTCTTCTTCGTCTGCTTGGGCTGGTAGTTTTCCTGTTTCAACTTGGTGGAAGATTTCTTGTTTCAACTTAGCCGCAACTCTCTGTCGTCTGAGGTGGTCTCTTCTCACTGCCGTCCGGAGCTGAACTTTAACTTCTCATCGACTTTCGGCTTGTCTGCAGCTCCAATTCTTCTCAGGCTTTCAGGCAATCTTCTTCTTCATCTACTTGGGCTGGAAGTTCTTCTTGTCTGAGGGTTCTTTTTCGCTGCCGTCCGGGGATGAACTCATTTTTGTCGATTGGGGCCCTGCTTTTATTGACGCCGCAACAAACCGGGGTGGGTCTGTCGGCGTCAGGGTTTTTTTCGATAATTCCAAAAACTGCATTAATTCTGTCTTCTCCATTATCGCTATTGTTTTCCCTACTTCCTCGCAGTACCTTTGGTGGGGTGGGGGCGATATCCATCTTTCTTAGTCTCGTATGTCAGGTGACCGCTTTTCAACCAATCGTTCCTGATCGAGCATTTCTTTCCCTTTTCTTCCCAGAAGTCACGTGATCGTATTCGACCAATTGTTATTGGTCGAACATTTCTTTCCCTTTTTCTTCCGCAGGTCACGTGATCGTATTCGACCAATTGTTATTGATCGAACATCCTCTCCCCTCTGTTTGCGGGGCGTGGTTACATCGTTCTTGTTTTTAAAAAAACAAAATCAATTTTTCCCTTTTTGCACGTACATAAAATGACAATCTTTGGCTTTCTCTCACCTGGACTTTGTCAAACAGCCCGCTGCTAATTAGTCTTGACTTTAGAAAGGATCTTTTCCGCCTTCTTGGCGCCCTCTGTGAGCCAAAAGCAATTGTCCCTCTTTTACCTCTTTTTTTTTCCTGATAGTCGAAAATCTTAATTATCTACATTGAAATGTCTCTACTTTATTAACGTGGGTGTCCAATTCTTAACAGGTCAAGATCTGTATATCGTTCCACCGTAACTCCCCTCAACCCAAAAAACACTTTTCTCTGATTAAAAATTTCATTTCTATTGTTCTAAACCAAATTGATAAGGGTCTCTCCACGCAAAAAGTCGGTCAGATGCTTTGACGATATCTGGTCTACATCAGCGGCCCATTTTGATATCATGTCTTTTTTTTCCTTTCTTTCTTCTTATTATTTATAATTCTATTCTTCCAATTGTCTTTCGAAAATCGGCCAAGACGCTGACCTAAATCTCTTTCTGACTCCTATCTCCACCCTCAATTGGGTCATGCATCATACAACTCTTTTTTCTCTTCTTCTTTCTTTTCTTTTTTTTTTTTTCTTTTCCTTCTTCTTCCCTTAAGATCGTCTAGTACAATCTTAGTGAATTATTTTCAACTCAGTTATTTTCCGTTTTAAAAAAAAAATCAACAACCTGTTTAGTAACCGAGTAAGAAAAAATTAAATCATATTTCTATGAATATTTCTAATAATGCAAGGTGCCACATAATAAATTTTGTCTTTTTGTTATCTCTTATAAAACTTGTTCCACCATTCATTTACTCATGCTCACTAAATAGGTTATGTGTAGTTTTTGTCTGTCTCTCATGCCTTAACCATCCTGTGAGTATCAAATTTTCCAAGCCCTCTTTCTTCATTGTGTCCCCCGAGAAATTTCAATTGTCTCTTCCTAATGTTAAGTATAAGTTTCCTTTTTGTTTACATTTTCTTTAAAACTTTGCCATTGCTTACATGTTCAGTCCATGGCATTCTCAGCATCCTTCTGTAGCATGATATTTCTATTGCTCCAAGTCTCTTTTTCACCTGTGAGGAAATTGTCCAGCATTCATTGTCATATAGAAAGACTGATATTACATAAGTTTTCTTTGTTTTTTAATACTCTGCTTAGCTTTTGGAGTGCTCTTTGACTATACCAATGTGCTTTCAAAGAGTACTAAAAGTTAAATATCAATTCTCGTGTTATCTAAAGGACCATCTGAAGTTGATCACAATAAGCGGCTCCCTCTGTATAAATATCTATATTTGTTTCATAACAAATCATTCAGATTTTGCGATGAGGTTTATCAGATTTATGAATTATAAGAAGTTTTCATTTCTACTCTCAGATCCTCATCAGGATTTTACAAGTACAAACACATTCTTGTTGGCTTTTAATAACTTATAAAGACTGCCTCACCATCCTCATGTTTGTTACACACATTTTCTTTCAACTCTGAGTTAACTTTTGCTTTTTCTCAATAGGACACAGATCTCCAACAAAAGATTGACCATGAGATTAAGATGCGAGAAGGTACTACCAAGTTGCTGGCCGCTGCCAAAAACCCGTCCCAGAAACTGGAGGCAGCCAAGAATCTCATTACCACCAACTCTCGCATTATCAGCTACATGAGAGAATTGCAGAAACGTACTACTGCTGAGGTGATGGGCAAAAATATGTAAGTACTTTTGGCAAGATAAATATAACTCAGTGGGTAAAAAAGTTCATGGCAATGAAAATAGATATACATTGCCTTTTAAAAAATGTTACAAGATGTTTGGGAAGTTTTTGTTATAGCAGAATGAACAAAGAAAAATTAATTTTTAAAGAAATCATTAATTGCTGCATAACATGAGTCACTTTTGTTTTATGAATTAAATGTTAGCCAAAATAGGATTTTCTGGCTAAAATGTTTTTATCAGATGTTAGCCAGAATAGGATTTTCTGGCTAAAATGTTTTTATCAGATGTTAGCCAGAATAGGATTTTCTGGCTAAAATGTTTTTATCAGATGTTAGCCAGAATAGGATTTTCTGGCTAAAATGTTTTTATCAGATGTTAGCCAGAATAGGATTTTCTGGCTAAAATGTTTTTATCAGATGTTAGCCAGAATAGGATTTTCTGGCTAAAATGTTTTTATCAGATGTTAGCCAGAATAGGATTTTCTGATCGAAATGTTTTGCTTCATATTAAGTTATTTTATTAATTATTAATAAGCAAGCTAAAAATTGAATTTTTTAATTTTTTTTAAGGAATTTTTTTCAGTAAAATAACAAATGTGAGTCATGTGGATTGTAGTAGCAATATTATCTTTATATTGTCAATTCTTCTATTAGTTGGGTCCCAAAATGTACCTTTTTTTTACCTTTCAAGCTGGCCTATTTTCAATGCATTTTGAATTTGCACATTAAAATTGGTTCACATCATTTTCATGGGAATTTGAGTGCCAATGGTTTTCAGGTTTTCACCTTGGTGCCAGGTTATATTTTGAGGTTTATATTTGTATATAGCTTTCTATCAGGACATAAATCTGGTTCCCACACCTCCCCAGTCTTTTGAACAGGAGTAGCGGTTTATCCCTTGTTCCCTGTTTAGGATGTGGCTTCCAGTTCCTTTTAAAGAGTTATGTCATAAATAGGAAAGATTGACACATATAGAAAATAAGAAGTAGTTTATTCCGACTAATATGATACATGGTTGAGAACAATGTATTAACTCCTCTCTCTCAGTAAGAGAAAGTGCTATTTAAATAGTCTTAGAGCCATCCATCTTGTGGGGGTGTTCAGCTACTCCACAACATAGTCTTTTTATTTTCTTTGACTCTCAGTTGCCCTTTGCATCTTAGTAGCATTATCATCTTGTGTGGGGTGAACTGATTTAAAAAAAAAAAAAAAAAGAATAACTTTTTAAATTATCATCATCATAATTACTATCTGTTTACATAATATACTATAGAAATTTTAGCTTCAACTCATCCTATGATTTCTATGTAATCAATTGAATGAATTAAAATTTGAATGTATTTTATTTTATAAATACAACTTTTGATATCACAGGTTAAAAACAAACCAGCTTCTTGATGGATAAAATCTTTTAACCCTTTGACCTTGTAATTTGTGAGTGAACACTATTTTACTATACAATATGTAAGCATGATACTTCATGTTCAGTGAGAAAAGATGTGAATAATACAAGGTTTAATCAGTGATAGCTCACCACTTTTATTTTAATGGAATGATGGGATAGCTTTCAACAAAGATATCTGCACCTGGAGCAAAGTTTGAATGCTTTTCTTTTCTGTCCATATGAAGTTTAATTGGATAAGATTAACAAAACTGTCCCCCCCTTGTAACAGTTTCTAAAATATGTAATAGATTTATTTTGTTTACATGGCCACAAGTGACACAATGTATTTGAAGCCCCAGAGTAAGGGTTAAATATTTACAACTTCGTATGATTTCAGAAAGAGTGTCCATAAAGTTCGTGTTCACTTTAAAAAAATTATAACTTTATTTGTATTTGTGATAGAAATAATCAGTAAAAAATGTTATAAAGTTTAATGTACCTAGTTTTAAGTCTAGCTAAAATAACTGTGATTTCAGGCATTACTGCAAAATCATATTACCCTTTGTATTGCTAATGATGTGGAAACTTAAATAAAATTTCAATAAAACCTTAAAAAATATAGATTCACTTCTTTCTAATCCTTTTTACAAATTATTTCTATTGAAAATACAAATAAAGTTATAATTTTTTTAAGTGCACACGAACTTTATGGACACCCTGTATATATAAATATAATTTTTTTTTTTTTTAATTTTTTTTTTATGGAAGGCTTGTACTTGTGTCTTTTCTCTTGGTACAAATGGTCAGTGTCTGAGTCTTGTAAAAACCCCAAAACTTGAATGCCCATTTTCCAGGTTGTGAGGCTTATCTTTCCAACTTTAGATACCAGTACAACACTCTTCTCATTTCCTTCTTCCCATTTAATCTAGTATTAAAATAAGCTTTTAAGTTTCCAGATGGAGTGTAGTAGTTATCAGTGTGGCAAGTATAATCTGTAAGCCAAGCCTTCACTTTCACACAAATACTCTTGGGAAATGCATAAATCCATATCTTCTCCTGCAAACCAAATTTGTTTTGTGACCAGTCTAGGAGAAGGGCATCACTGAATTCAAAAGCAGTTGGGTCTAGGACTGTCAAGGGCACCCCATAAAGACCTACTTGCCACAGAAACCACAGCAGCAGCCCCTATCATTGTGACGCTGTGGTGCAGCTCACCCCAGGAACTTTAAAGATATGGGGAATGAAACATTTAAAGCTTCTGCTGTAAAAGAAAATAGTCTAATTCTGGGTACCTTTTAAGCTCAATGACTGCAACATTTAGAATTTTACTTTTATAGGTGTGCTGAAAAGTTCTCATCTTGATGAAAAAATCTAACACTTTCATCCCGGCCCCTCAACCTCCGGTGTCTTATTCTCGGGGTTGAGGTGTCTACTCGGTCCTACCCGAACTTAAGGGAATGGCCATAGGTCCCCTGAGCATCTGTAGATTATTTGACCGGTTCGCTGGTTTAATCCTGCTTCCTCCCCATGTTGTGATTTGTTTGATCCAGAAAGCAGAAGTGATGTTCGTCCATTCACGGTTAACTGAAGATGTAGACATGGCTGGGGAGTCTGCACTAAGAAATTTAGAATGCAGAAAAAAAAAATTAATATCTGCAGAAAGCCAGACAAACATCGATTCAATGGTTGAATTGGTAATGTCTTTTATATAGCAGAAAAGAATAGTACAGAAGAGAATTAGGTGACAGAAAAGAAAAGTAAAAAAAACTCATACACTGGATTCTAGACAGAGAGAGATAGTATATGTGATTATCTTGTTAAATCGTCTCAGAACGATATATGACTTTTGCGATGAAGGGATAAAGATTTCTGTGCAAGGCTTAAAGTTATAGTGGCGTTGCTCCTCCCAACGCTCGCCTGGGCCAATTCTCTCTTCAAGAATTTTCTCCCGTCTGTCTTTTTCACCATAATTACGCATTTATATATATAAACCTGGCTGGTTATAACTGACCCTCGACCCTACTACTTCACACGCGATTATCACGGGGTTCTGGCTGCTTCAACCAAAATCATGTGAATTCCAAAGTTCCTTCTAGCTTACTCAGTTCTATTTCAATTTTTAATTGATAAAAATTATTTCGACCAATACCATTATCTACTGATGACCCAGATTCAATGGGTACAACTTCTGCCCTAGATCAGATTTCCCCATCAGTAAACAAAATGTTCTTATTTAATTTTGCTATTCAAATCTACTCCAATTTCACTAAAAAAAAAAAAAAATGTGTGTGTGTGTGTGTTTCCCAGACTCTCTCTGTGTCACAGAAAGGCCTAAAAAAAAAATTTTGTTTGATCATTTGGGAAGTGGGTCAGGTAGCATCTCCACATACTGTTTTTTTTTTTTTTTTTCTTCTGTCTGTTAAACTTATTCTTAATCCTGTGTTAGTTACATGGGGTATTTTGTTAGCCCCAAATTTTGAAAGTATGCCTAATTCCCAGTTGGCAACTTGTTTTGCTTCTCCCCACTTCTCTCTTGACTCAGTGAGGATGTGTAGTATGCAGCATGGCACAGTCGTTGCTCAGTTGTCATGGGAGGCAGACACCAAAGGACTGCTATTTTTGGAAATCCAAAGTGACTAATGCAGACTTAATGATTTTCAGACTGTTGTCCCCATCTCTGTTATTTTTAATACATTTCACTTAATATATTCTTTGGTCTCCTTTAGAGCATATTTATTTGATGCTCTTTAAATATCGCCCAGTACTTTTGCTCTTTTTCTTTTCTGGGTCTTAAAACACCAACAAAATTATAGGACTGACTATTAAAACTAAGTTACTTTATATACATTGTTCTTTTAGTTTATTTTTTATTTTTTTTTATTTTTTTCAACTGTTTGTTTCATTTGATGAATTCTAAAAATTACTTCATACTTTTTGCTTTTCATTCCTAAACTAGAACACCACAGGCTGAGTATTAAGGTCTTGTTTTTGTCATATTAACACTTATTGCTGTCAGGATTTATTTTCCCTTCCTTTTGAATGAAATCAAAATTATAACTACAAAACTATGATGGATAATCTCTGAAACAATAGTTTCAAAACTGATAGTTCCAACCCAAATGAACATTGGAAGAATTCTCTTGAATGACTGTGGAATGGATTAGACAGTAATCAAAATTAAAAATTATAAAAGACTAAAGGAAATCTTATCTTACTTAGCCAATATATTTTGGCTACTAATGGACTTTATCAAGGCAAATGTAAGGATTTTATTTTGCAACAAGTCTTTATAAACAAAAGTAAAAATGTTAGTTTTTCAAAATTTTTCAATGTAAGGAATGCTCATAAATATTAATCAGGTTAACTGAAAATTTGAGGTAAATTATGCAGGATTTTTTTTTTTTATAATGTAATTATTTTATTTTAATATGGGATAAATGTATGTAGTATATATTTTAAATGAAAGTTGGTTAGGAATTTAACTGTTTTTTTATTTTTTAATTTTTTAACATTTTTATAGTCATCTATGTTGTTGGTTTGGGAAAAGGCATAACTGTCTTTTTTACAGACATACTTTTACTTGTATCTGAAATTTTTACACACGCATATATATATATATATATATATATATATATATGAGACCATGGAACAAAAAAATTAATTGGAAACAATAAAAAGTTGAATATATTCAAACTCACAATGTATTGCAGTCAGATCAGGTGCAACACTAAGGTAGTTAAAGCCTAATTTAATCTCAGTATCCCATCTGACTCACTTGTGGCATTGCTGTTTTGATGACTAGCAAGCTGTGATATGCATGTGAGACATTTATATGAAGTATTTTTTTATCATTTACTTTGTGCAGATATTGATCAAGTAAAATTTATTGAAGGGACACTGAAATTGTGTTTTAACAATAAAGGTTGCCAGGTCGAAACAATGTTCAGAATTTTGTCCCCCAGAAGTTGAAACACTTGATAACATAAAATTAATTGCAATTGACTATGAACTCCTGGGATGGGAAGCTATTATTATTTACATTATTTCTTTTCAGATTAATGACCTTGTCATCCTTTTTGTTATTATCACAACATTTCATCTGTTGCCCATTGGCTTTCTTCAGGTATCTGTCAATCTGGGTAACTTTCAGGGAATTTTGAAGTGAATTCTTTATTTAATCTACAGGAAGATAGTGTCCTCATTCTGCTGTTCAATCATAGTAGGGGCTCGACAAGGCTTCTAAATATTTCCTCTGGGATCTAGTGCCAGGATTCTAACTTCAAATCTTTTATTTGCTGCAAACTATATGATAGAGATCCTACAGAAACAAACATATCCTGAAAGTGCTCAATAGGATTTAGATCTGGGGAGTTTGGTGGCTAGGGCAACAGAGTGAACTTTTCTTCATGTTCTTCAAACCATTCTTGTACATTCACAAGGTATGGCAGGGTGCATTATCATGCTAAAAAAGGGGGCATGGCTATCATAGAAACCTGTGGCTACAAAGGAGTGTATCTCATCTTCAATGTGCCCAGCTAAATGCCTTTCACATGAATAATAGCACTAAGTATTTCTCAAAACCTTGTTGCATCCACCAGTTGTTTTTTGTGCATTCTGCTATCATCATTTTCCTTGTTTTCCTTGCCATTTCAACTGTAAACTGATGAGACCTTGCTACCAATCTAGTCCTGTGTATAAATTCATAAAGTCTATGTACCCTAGAGGAAAATTAATCAGAACAATTAGCATTAAAGTATTTATAAAAAAGACTTAGGGTAGCTACATTACAGCAGTGGAAAAATGACTGAAAGTGAGATGCCAGGTCAGGACCAATAACATTGCAATCTGAATATATAGCAGGAGCACCAAAATCCTATTATAATTGTGCTTGTCTCTCCTTTCATTAATTTGCACACTCGTTATGTCCTGCCAATATCTCATAAATAAACTCTAAATTTTATTCAATTTTTTAAACCAATCGATAAAATTTGAATAAGGTGATTTGTTTGGAAAATACTTTAACAAAAACCCTAATTCATGGTTTTTGCGCACCTTAGTAAAACCAAATCTTACCTGTTTGCACTTCTCCCCAAAATTTGGTTTCAATCAGTCAATATATGGTCGTTTTAGAGGGAGTGACAGACAGACTAATGGAAATGACAGAATTTTGTAGAGATGTTATTTTAGTGTGCATGAATTTGTGCTGACGAGAAAAGGGAAAATAGGTTTTTGTGAGTAATTAAATACAAGTTTAATGTTACCAATGTCATGAGAAATGAAAATATTTCCCTCACTGATGTCTTTTTATTTTTTTTTTTTATTTTTTTTTCATTCTTTAATGCAGGTCAGTTGAAGGCAACCTGTCACCATGCAAAGCTCAAGTCAGTGTCTCAGGTAAACATTTATTTTGTTCAATCACATTCTAAACAGACATACAAAACAATATGTGAAATGATTTGCTCTTTAGATGTCATATTGTGAAAATAACTTAATAGCATAATCACTCTGCATTTGGTCTCCCCCTCCAGTACTGTATTTTTTTAATTATTTTTTTAAACATACTTTTACTCAGTATCTGTGTATATTTCTGAGATGTGGTATTATGTACATTACTTACATTATTCAGACTATTGTCCTCATCTTTGTCGCCATATTTATTACAACGTTTCGGCCATTGTATGCTCCAGCCAGTGGATAAAGGCATTAGTTAGATTCAGTAACAGGAACCCAAAGAGTGTGAGTTCAATACCCGGTTAAGGCAGTGGAGAACTTTCAGAGGGGAATTAACAGGCGATAACTGATAATTGACATCCGTTAGACATGGCACGTAGAACTAGAACAGTCTACCCAAGTGAGCGAAATAAAGGGTTCAGTTCAACATTCCAACCACCTGAAGGAGGCCGGAGCGTACAATGGCCGAAACATTGTAATAGATATGGCGACAGATGAGGACAATAGTCTAAATAATGTAAATAATTTACTTTTACTCAATGTACATATCTAGAGGGGCTTATTTTCCATGAAAACAGAATGGCCTACTTGAATCAGAAATCATAATTTTGTAATGGAAATTTTCCTTTTTTTTTTTTTTTTTTTTTCTTTTAAGAATTAGATTTGCAAACTGCCATTTTTATTTTATGTTTGCATTTCCTAACTCACTTGTCTGATATACATCAAAAGATAAAGTTGGTAATGTTTTAATACACCCCCCTTACCTGCTGTCTCCCTACAGTTTACTGTATTTAGGAACCAAGTTTTATGAAGTTATTTTTTTTTTTTTTTTTGTTTTTTGTTTCAGCCTTTCTTTTTCCTATCATGTATGGTGACTGAGGTGGGGGTGCAGGTTGTCATTTCAAAGAGTCAAATTTTATGAATCAGACTTTTTCAAAAATTATGATAATTTTATTTTCGAGTTTTAATAACATTTATCTATTGTTACACTTTCTCACTAGGTATTATTAATGAAGCAAAAACAGAATTCTATTCTGAAAACCAGAGAAAACACAAAATTCCCTAAAACCTGAAATGGAATTAAGAAAACTTTTTCCCTCTACATATCTAAAGATAATGACTTAATGTTATTCTTGTGGGGAAAGTCAGCTTATGAAGGGTTAGGTTAGGATTTCCATAGCCCATTAGTCATAAGGGTACCAGCTATAGCACCAGTGGTGTGTCTAGATCAAGATAACCTGACGGTGCCCATCCCTCTTCAAGATGGTTTTGAATTCAGTTTTCCTTCTAGACTGGTTGTCATCTCAAAGTAAGAAAGCCAAATCTGCCCTGTTTTAACTCCTAGCTAGAGGAAGATGGGTTCATGCCTTTTCCAAGAAGGGATTACAATAGATCCTAATGTTTTTCATATGGCCGGATTTTGTCAAGTAGCTTGTGCCAAAAATTTCCAGCCCCCCACCTCCCCATTGGTGTGTGTGTGTGTGTGTGTGTGTGTTGGTCCGAAAGTCTTGTCATCCCCTAAATAAATATTCATAGCCTGGCCACTCTGGTAAATTGCACATTCATTGGAGAAAAATACCTTTCCACATTTTAGACTTCTTAGAAATAAATCAAGTAACCGTCCATATGGCACACATCTTTTATCTGTGTCATTAACACTTAGTTCATTGACAAATGGTTGTTTAGGAAGGCCTTTCGACCTCACTTCCACTATATTAGAGAGTGAGCGAAAATCAGAATGGGTGATAGCATAAACAGGAAATGCATCCAGTGGCTAAAATAAACAGGACGCACAGGTGTCTTGAGCAGAAGGAAATGCATGTGTGTGCATAGGCACATGGTCAGAAGGCATGGCTACAAGAAGTTACAAAGCGACATACCAGAAGAAGGTGTAGCCATGTGAAATTGCATGGGTGTCCAAATGTTATAAAAGTGGTTCAATTCTTGACCTGGCAGAGAGGCTAGCTAGAGTTTCACTGAAGATTTGTCTCCATCAGTTCCTCTATGCACAATCCTAACCTCTGTGATTCTCCTTCACTCTACGCAATTATTCCTACCAATATTGGTGTTGTCAACAAATATTGTCATTGTGTGTGTGTGTGTGTGTGTATGTATATATATATATATATATATATATATATATTTATACACACACACACACAGCACGCCATGAAAATAAACAAAAACTTCAAATTCTCCAGGCCCTCTATATCAAATAACCAACCAATACTGAACACACACACACACATACATATATATATATATATATATATATATATATATATATATATAAGGCAATTGAATAACTAAGTGGAAAGATTGTGTAATTCATTTTGTCTTCAGGAAGGACTTTGTCAGACTAAAGTAATGTTTTTGTTGATGGAATTATATATGTGTCCATATAAAGAGCTGAGTAAAATTGAAAAGATATACTTCTCAGATTTCCCTAATATTGTTTCTATCCAGGTCTTTTTTTTTTTTTCTTTCCAACTCAATTCTTTGGGAATCAAGTGAATTGTTTTGTCAGAAGAATTATAAATTTCTAGCTTTTGCTCTCAATTTAATTTCCTATAATTTTTGCATTTCAGATATAAGGATTCCGCTCATGTGGAAAGACACAGACCATTTTAAGAATAAAGGAGGTTCGTTGCTTCTTTCTCTTACTTCTTGTGTTATTCACAAAAAGTGAATTGGTTCCTTTTTAGTTCAATGAAACAATCATCATAATTGTACTTTAGTGTCAAATACATTTGAAGTTGGAATATATATATATATATATATATATATATATATATATTATGATGAAAGTGGAGACTTTAGAAATCCATGGTAATATTTTATTTCACATGATCGATTAATCAATCTTATCAGATCAAACATTTTCACAGCAACAAGATTGAAAATTACTTTTTTGTTTGTGCCTGGATGAATTTTTAAAATTCATTTATTGCTGTGAAACTGTTTGGTCTGATGATACGCAATCAATTAATTGATCTTGTGAAATAAAATATTACCATGGATTTCTAAAGTCTCCACTTTCATCATTAACACTTGCTCTGTTCTTGCATTGAGCTCTCTCTCTCTGGATTTATATCTTCTTTGGAATTATCCATATGAATTAATATTATTATCATTTTGTGTGTGTGTGTGTGTATATATATATATATATATATATATATATATATATGTGTGTATATATATATATATATATATATATATATATATATATATATAATATATATAAATTCCGGGGATAGAATCCAGGTAGAAGCCAATGTCCAGGACAGAGTAAGAATATAATAGAATAATTCTTTTTGAATTTGTAGGTCTGATGAATTGGAGCGTAATTACGATTCCAATGTAATAAACTATAAGCATGGAATATTAGTGTTTGAGCCTTTTATATTATACTAGCAGCGTGTTATTATTAATTAATTAGGTTGTTGTAGTCCATTGTTGTTATTTTATAAAAATTTCCTATTTTGTTCGATTTCATTAAAGTTTTATCAGTTTTATAATGAATGAATATTTTTTCTCCCTTAAATATTCCATCTCAAATTATGCGTGTGTGTTTTGTATGTCAAGAAATAAAAGGTAATTCTATTAAATCCTCGTCTAGAGTTGATTATTGGGGCTGGAATTATTATCAGTGTTGTATTAAAACAGAAAGCTGAAATGATAATTTTCAAAATTTGAAAATGGGGATAAAAGCAACTTTGATAAAAGAAGGAATACTGTGTATTTTGTCTGGTATGTCTTGAAGGCATAATTATTATTTTTGTTCTTGGTTTCAGATCATCGTCGTTATGCAGTTTTCTGCCTAATAAAGATTGGAACAGAAATTTACGACTCAAGCCTGATATCAAATGTTGATCGTAGTATGACAGATATTTCATTTGATGATGTCATTGTATTGTAAGTAAATTGCTTTTCAGAAAATTACATGCAACGTGAACACTTTCTTTTTTAACTGAGAAAATGAATTCTCTGTTAATTAACTCGCATAGTAACAAAAAAAAAATTTATTTGTGCCTAGGTACTTCAGTTGACAATCAGCATTTATTTAGGATCAAAATGTCACACCATTTTTCTTGGCATGATCAAAATAAGTATCTGTGATCTATGACTGAGATATATATATACATATATATATAGTGAGAGATATATTGTTTATAGTGTCTTACTCTCGATAATTTAGCTTTGCTTGATGTAATGGTTTCCTGTAGCTTGCCTCAAAATTGTTTCACAGTTTCAAAAAGGAATACAAATTAAAGTCCTTTTATGAGGGATATTTTCTTTATTAAGACTTTTAATTTCTAGGCTTATAGACATTAATTTCACCGATTTTTAAAAAAAAAAAAGGGTATATTGACTCAAACCCATTATATATACATATTTATAGTAATAACAAATGTTTTCCCAATCACTTTATTCTTCAAGTCTAGGATTAACCTTTATCTTTCCAACATAACCTCATAAACTGCTGATTTTTTTTACCATTTTCATGAAATAATTAATAATTGTCGTTTTAACTGATTTCGCGGAATAATTAATAATTGTAATAAATAAATTTTTTTCGTTTCAGCGAAAATGTCCCAAATGATTATAAATGCACATTGGAAGTTTATTGCCACAAATTGCACGAAGATCTGACCATTGCAAGTACTCCCAAAAAGATACGAAAGAAAATCAATGATTTCTCAGGTTCTGTTGGCAGAAATGTTGGCAAGAGATTATCTGGTCTGGTGAGTTTTGTCATTTTTTTTCTGTACTCTCAAACCCAACATGTTATTGTTTTGTTTTTTTTTTTATAGAAGTAACTTAACATTAAGTTAAACTTTAGCAATCTGTAAACAACTTTGTTTAATGAAGAAAATTATTTTCCTGCCACTTTAAGCAACTCTGATTACAAAGCAATAGCATGTTTGAATTTCATGGTTGTGTTGTCATATTCTGCTATGGAAACACAAAACAACTTTGACTGAAATTGACAAATGAAGCTAATGCAGTTGAGGAGCTTTGGAAAAATTACAGTGAAATGGAAAGTAATACATGTGAATGAATAAGGGTGTTAAATGTGTGTGTGTGTGTGTATATATATATATATATATATAGGCATGACTTTTGAAACCAGCTTGAGACTTGCACAAAAGACCACAAACAGTACAGGAGAATGTATTGTATCGAAGTGCAGCAGGAACACTGTTAGCTGTCTTATTTTGCTTTCATAGTCAAATGAGTCTTACTTCTTGATGATGCATTATTCCTTGCATTTCTCAAAAAGGTCATTTGACACTCAATCATCAAACATTAGGCCACAGATTATATGGAGACAACCTTTATGGAAGACATCTAATCGTTTAATGTGCCATCTATAAGGTGTCCAAGCCTCAGAGCCAAACAAAAGAGTTGACAAAACAACAGCTCAGTGCATTTAGATTTTAGTGCAAAGCATTATTCCCCTTTCGTCCCACAACCTATGACGCAATGAACCAAAGGAAGCACTGGCTTTTGCAATGCAATTAACAATCTCGTCATCAAGTGATACACTTGAATTTACTATGCTCCCGAGGTATTTGAAAGATTCCACATACTTGAGATTCTTTCCATCAACTTGAAAAGGGACCTTAGGAAACTTACAAATTTGTCTCTGTTTTACACCTGTAATTTGCTTCAGTGTCAGGCAAGGTTGACATATATATATATATATATATATGCTCTGTAGATTTGCATTGAGCACTGTTTTGTAAAAATAAAAATATTAATAATAACACCGGGATATATAATCTGGTGTTCTTAGTAATATTTTTATTTTTACAAAACAGTGCTAAATGCAAATCAACAGAGAATAAGTATTATAAATTTGCTAATTTAAGAATATGGTTCCATTGCTACACAGGAATTACCATGTAAGGATATGGGGAGATTCTATCATTTTGTCAGGGGGTGGTAGGGTATTTATTTTCACTGACAACTATTGTATCAAAATGTGAGATTTGATTTTTGAAAAGAGGAAAAATCACAAGTGGCCAGATCTGGGTGATTGTTGGACCTGAGGAATGTTATGCTTGACCAAAAACTTCTACACAAGCCATGGTCATTGATGGAACTTCTGTGGTGTCGTGAGATAGCCACACTTTACACACTTTCCTTCCAAGCACTGCTATAAACAGTGGAGGTAAATGAGGACAAATTAGTGTGTATGCAAAACTGAGTTCAAGGCCAATCTGTGCCAAGAGCTTCACTCTGCATATTTTAGCTCCATACCATAGCAACAGTCCCAATACTTTTTGATCAGACCTCATATAGATGAAAGTGTTGCCTAAGTAAGTTGATTCTGAAATTCTATCTTGTATTTGGGTATGTCACACCCACTGAAGGTATGTGGAGAAAATTTGAAGTTTTTGTTATTTGTCATGACCATATCATTTAAAAATAAATTCAGTTGTTGGTGCAAATGTTACACTGTGCTCATTTTTGCACAGGTAACGAATCATTTCAACAGGTATTATGTAAATCATGGTAGCAAGTGTAAAAGTTATTCTGGTTTTGTTAACCTCAATAGCGATTGTTGTTTCCTGTACAATGAATGTCAATATTAAACTAGAAATGTTTGGATTTAAATGTATGGAAGAAAAATGTTTTACTGTGGAATGAATTTGAATTTAATGACAAATGTTTTTTTTCTTTTTCAGAGTGATGCTGACATTCTTGGAAATATGGTGTTGTGAGTAAAAAAAAATTAAAAAACAAAACTTTCTTCTCCCCATTTCCTCTCATTTGTTTCAAATCTTTTTTTTTATTGAGCAAAAAAGGAATTCATTTTTCTATTTCAATAAAAACCAAGTTCTGGAATAATAAGAAACTTTTAATCCATAATAAATTACATCTCCCCCCCCTCCACACATTCTTTCTTTGTTATTTAATATTACAACATAATGAACTCAGGCTTGATATCTGGGCAAACACTACCCTCAATTTCATATCAGTAATTCAGGAGACATTTTTAAGAGAAAAAGGAATTGAGGTGGTGTTTAATGTAACCTCAAATATGGAAGGTTGTTTGGAACTTTATTTATTACTGAGAAGAAATAAAAATAAGAAAAATCCAACTTAAAGCAATCAAATTTATAATGCTATTTTAAACTGATGATCATTTAAAGTAAATGTATTTTTATTGATCTCTAAACTTAGATGATAGTGCATTTCTGGTGTCAATGTGAGCGATTGTGTATGTCTAGTATAAATTATATTAATGCGTAAAGCCACTAAGACACAAGAGGTTACTGAGTGTTTGAGAATATGACAAAAAATACTATTAAGAGAACAAGAATTAAGAAGAAAGAAAAGAACGATTGATATTGATCCTCAAGAAGTTGACTGGGAAGGAAGAAGCTAGAAGAGAGTTCCACAAGCAAGAGGTGTGAGAAAAAAAAGGTATCAGAATAATTGTCATTAAAATATTTATAGAAAAGGCACAAATAAGCTACATTCCTGTGGTGGGAAAGTGACTAATGCTGAGATACCAGGTCAGGACCAGTTATATTGCAGATCTTACTTTGTATTTTTTCAAGAATCTCTAAATATATAGCAGCAGCACGAAAATATAAAATTTAAAAAAAAAAATTTTTTTTTATGTGATGCCATGTGGCTGCTTTCTTGAAGGAAAAAAAATCCTCAGTTTATTGCAAATAATTAGACTTTTTTTTTATATTTGCATTGCTAATGAAAATAAAAGTCATTAAATCCTATTTATTAAGACAGATTCGAAATGTTTTTATATTTGGTGGCATTCGTTTTATTTGAAGGATAATTATATAATTTCATCTTAATTCTTTCTCTTATTATTTTATTTCTTTATCTGACTCATTAGGGGACCCAAATTTGAACTTGTCACAAAAGGCTCCCTGACCCTAAATGATGCAGATGATACAGTGAGAACGTATGATCTAACCATGGAACCAACTGCAGGCAAGGAATTTTTATCTCTCTATCCTTTTATCTCTCTATCCTTTGACTTGTCATGTTTCTCTGAGATATTTTTTTCTTTCTTTTTAGATGAACTGAATAAGATTCGGTTATTATTTCCCAACTGCCCTCTTTTCTGTCCTTTTTATGCTTTCATGCCATTTTGACCAGTCCATTCTCCAACTTTCTTCATGTAGTAATTTTTAGCTTATTGACTAACAGTTTTATAATGGGCAAAACTTCACCTGTAAATGATCAGAGAATGAACTGAGTGAGCCAAAAATGTCATTGTTCATCTTGTTCTGTTTGGCATACTGTTCATTTGCTACATAATTTTTGGGGGTCAACCTATGGGTGGGATTGACAATTTTGGTCACTGTAGTGCTTCATAGTAATGAGATAACATGACAGAAAATAACATTTTTAAAAATCTCTTTTTTCAAACAAGAGGCTTGGTTCATCAAAATTTAAGATTATTTATACAAATGAATTAAATGCATGAGAAAACTCCTTGGTATTCTCTATTGAGGAGAAAAAAACTCCCCAATAGAAAATGCCAAGGAGTTTTCTCATGCATTTAATTAACAATGAGTTTGTGTGGAAAAGTGTTGAAAGTTGACTACCCCAGTGAGCGAAATAAAGGATTCAGTTTGACATTCCAACCACCTGAAAAAGGCCAGAGCATACAATGGCGAAAACGTAATAAATATGGCGACAAAGATGAGGACACTAGTCCAAATAATGTAAATAATTATTATTTTTATTCAAATATTAAATTTATCAGATCTTGCTTTCTTCTTATATAATTTTTTTTTTGTTTTCTGGTCATTCTTAATTCTCCTTGCAAGATTTATGTCATTGACTGAAACTTGAGAATCACTTAATAACTTTAACATCCACCATTCCCAACTATTTTTACTGCATGACATGAAATTCTACCCTCCAAGAAAAAGGGTGCTGCTTTTTTCATTTTTTTTTTTTTTTTTTTTTTTTTTTTTTTGTTCAACCATGAAGAAGTCCTACTGACAAAATGGCTATCACAGTTGAAATTCCATTTCCTAATTTTTATCTAAATTGATACTGATTCATTCTATTTTCAAGATTGAAAAGTTCCTAGTTCAACCTACTTCCTAAAATCTGACAATATATCAGAATATTTTTTATTCCTTCTTTGTTAGGCCAAGAACTTTTCATCACCCGCTCATAAGTAACATTTACTAGATTCAGAATAAAATATCTACTTTGAACCAACATTTTACTTTTTTGTGTCAATTTATATTTAATGAAAAGTTGCTCAGGAACTCGTAACCCAATTAGAATGAAATGTTTATTCTTCGTTTTAATATTTTAACAGTATTATGCTAACAAAAATTGCACAATGATGTGGACTTTTTTGATGCGTTACAGTAAGAAACACAAAACATAGAAATCAGATCATTATAATATACATAAACAAATCCTATCTATGTATTTTTTGTATAGTTCTTTCTTTTGTCAGTTTTATAAAAAAAAATTTTTGTTTATCCCCCCCTCCTCCATTTACACTTTATCAATTGATGATGTTTTCTTCCGCCAGATGGCAGTGCATATGAACTTCCGTTCTTTGGTCATTACTGTTGTCGACTTGCTGCATTACCTCACTGTCTGACACAGGCAGCCATGACTGGCTACCTCAATTTGCTGGTAAGTTAGAAGCACTTTTGAACATGAAAGATCTGTAGTTAAGGTTTTCCTGAATTACTTATTTTGTTGTTATTTTTGTTTTTTTTTTTATATATATATATATATATATATATATATATATATATAATTATTTATTTAAAAATATGATTCCAAATCACTACATAAGAGGTCTCATGTTTCAAAACAAGAGCCGAAAACTTCAATATAATCCTTTAAATTAAATTGAGTTTAAATTAAAAATAAAAATGGGCTCCGTTCCATCTTCAAGCGAAATTTTTGTTGGAATAACGTATATCTGAAATTTACTTGTTTTAAAATTGAAATCAAAATCCCCATGGTAACAGCTAGGGCGAATTGTCTAAATTATTTACCTAACCAGTTCCTTCCTATTTTCTATATATTTTCACATATACATATATATATATATATATATATATATATATATATATATATATAGGTCTCAATATCAATCAGCTGACAAGCTAAAGGCCAACCTCTCAGCTGTCAATGTGCCACATACTAACTTCGAGTGAGTTGCCCAGAATATAGAAATAACTGGAGATATTTGTATCACGGTGGTATCAGAAATTTTGAAAATAAGTCACATTAGCCAGCTAAGCGATGAAAGACAACAGTGAAAAATGTCAGCAAATATTCCTATGGCTATGTCCCGAGATCCTTGCTGTTGCACAATATGTGGACTTGTATTCAGCTCACTAGCAGGACAGAAGTGTCACATACAATACAAACATAAAAATTGAATGAGGTTGTCAGATCATCATATGTCAAAATATATGCATCACATATATATATATAATTATTTTTTTTAAAAAATATGATTCCATCGCTACATAAGAGTTCTCATGTTTCAAAAACAGAAGCTAAAAACTTTCAATTATAGAAATTAAAGTACCTAATTCTGTTTCATTCCTCAATTTTGGAATAACTTATTTGGAAATTTACGAAGCTTTATAAGCATATACATTTGTAATATTAATTTCTGTGGATATGGAGAAAACCAATCATTTTAATAAGGGTTGATAGGGTATTCATTTTCACTGAAAAAAATATATATATATATATATATATATATATATATATATATATATATATATATATATATATATTCCATTTTTAAATCCTTTCTCTCAACCAAGTTGGAGTATTTTAATCTATTTTTACTTTTATTTTTCATATCTATTTTTTTGAGACGAAATCTGATAAAGTTCCAAGATTTGGGTGGGGGAGGTTAAAATTATGTGCTGGTATTTCTCCCAGCCTCAATTTGCCTTTGTAATTTTTTTTTTTTTTTTTTTTTTTTGTCAGGTGGACAAAGACACCAACAAACAGAAACGATATTGGTGTGTTTTAAAGAATTTGGAATTGGCCTGTTATCTGGCACCTGAAGATGTTGGATTTTCCCGCCCACAACTCTGCATCCCAGTCACCAAGGTAACACAAGATTTTCACTTGTTCAAACTTACAGTCTTAGTTAAGGTTTATTACCAAATCCTCATCCATGCAAAACATTACTTTCATCCTCTCATGACTAAAGGAATGTAGCCATAATCTGGAGTTGTAGGGTTGACAAAAAATAAAACAAATAAAGCCTCAGCAAAATCAAAGTTTATTCAAGTCACTTAGAATATTTGATAATTATTTTTTTAAATTATTGGATATGAATTTAGAAAGAATATTTTATAAAATCTTTAAATTTGATTTTTATAAATTATTTCATGTTTAAAATTCATCTTTGAGGCATTTAAAAAATTAAAAGGATTTAAAAACTCTTTTTTGCAAAACCTTACATTGTTAAAATTAAGTGCTATGTATGTATGTGTGTGTGTGTATGTATATATATATATATATATTTGAAAATTATAACATAAATATGTTATAAAATCACGACAAAAATAACCATTTTGTTTCAACACTTCTAGTGTTTTATCAAGTGATGGTGTTGAATGTAGAATAAAGGTTTTTTATATTTGCTCTACTCTGTATTGAGCACTCTTTTAAGAATAGTATTTGTTGGTTATTGGAATTTATTCCATATACATCAATCCTATACTTGGGTGTATATATATATATATATATATATATATATATATATATATATATATATATATATAAAACAACACTCATGGCCTGACGATTACGTCTAGCATGAAACAGCCTGTCGCCTCTAATTGTTGACTTCAGTGTTCACTTTTATATTTACACATGCTCTATCTCTGATATTGAGCACTTTATCCCATAAATATAGCACACCTTATTTCTTTTTTTATATATATATAACATTTTTTTGTGTGTAACATTTGAGGGGCAGTGTGCAAAAAAAGTTTTTTTTGTGTTTGTGTGTAACAATTGTGGGGAAATATGCAAAATAATGATGAAAATATTCCAGTTACATTTGTTTTTGAAAAGAAAAAAAAGAAACTTTATTTAAATAAAAATTATGAGAAACGGACATGACTTACGGCAACATTAGTCGTGTTGAATATTTGTTTATTGAATTGATATTTAATTAATTTTCAAAAAAAATAAATCTCACTATAATTTTTGCTTTAATAAAACCTAATTTAAAATTATTTACTTTTTTTCATGTTAGTAACAAACCAAAAAAACAATGAAGTTTATTTTTTAAAGATTGATTAAAAAAAATTATTTTCCATAACCTAAATAAATTATTTTTCCATATCATAATTTTGGGATTTTGCAGAGGCCCTTGCACCACCCCAGCCTCGACTAATTCAAGATATTTTGTTTGAAATTTATTTTTGTAAAGTAAAAAAAGAAGAATAGATACTAAGTTTCATTATTAAAATCTGCAATAATGAATGAATAATAAAAAGTTAAAATAATTACACACACAAAAAAAATATGGAAATAAATTCAAGAGAATAGAAAATTTAAAAATGTATGTAGCATTTTGAAACTATCAGCAGAATTAAAAAGTAAAAATGAACGAGAATAATAATAATAATAATAATTATTCTCGTTCATTTTTACTTTTTAATCTGAGAATTTTGAAACACTCACATGGCTAAAAATGAATTCTAATGCAATTATTACTTTTTAATTTTAAAATATAGTTGCAAATCATATGATGATAATATTTTTGCAAAAAGGTGGGTTGAATGATACTGTGTCTATATATATATATATATTATATATATATATATATATTGTCGTTAATTATTGTATGTTGCAATTTGGAATACATCTTGTGAAATTTGGTAATAACTTGACAAAAAAAAAAATTTTTTTTAAATATATATCTGATGATGCGTTGCTCTTAATAGGACGAGAAAATGAGCAGACTCTGAAATTCCAGATTGAATCTACGGAATGTCAAGGATTACTCAGACCTTCTAAAGTTTACATAAAAAATATTGTGCTTTGGGAACTTTTACAGTAAACATAATTTTGGTTGTAAATATGTAACATTTATGAGGATTATATACGAATATCTTTCCTTGGGTATTTATAAATTGTACACTGTTCAATTTTTGATGTTAACAACAAACTATTTTAAATTACAAAATTGTACTTGGATTAAATGAAAACTACTTAGACTATAATACATATTACATATAATGCATTCCTTCTCCCCATCAATTTTGATGGCACGGATACACCAGTATGTTTTTTATATATATATATAATAAATTAATTGATTTAAAATATGTTGTTTTTTTTCCGTTACACAGTTCTAACCATGTTTCAAAAATGGAAGCTAAAAGCCACGAATTTAATTTTGCAATTAAATTAAAGACATTAGTTCCATTTTATCCTCATGCGAATTTTGGAGTAACTTTTAAAATTACTGGGTTTTAAAGACACAGTTAAAATCACGTTTCCATGGTTACAGATAAATCTACTTCAACTGGACAAGGGTTGTCTGGGTTTTCCTTATGTCTGTATCATTGTATCGGTTATTAGCTACATTTTGGTAAGGGGTAGGGATGTATTTTTCGATGAGAACTGACATCCGTTGAATGCATGTCGTCTGAATTTTTTTTAAATTTATTGTTAACGGCAAAAAAATTCTTACGACATTTTTTTTTCCTATTTGTAAATTTAAAGATTTTCGGGGGTGTTCAGATTAGAATACTTTTTATTTAACTACGATTTGAAATATTCTCATTTTTAAAATTTTTATTATACTATTTTTTTTTTTTTTATGAACAGTTAAATGTATTAGAATTCCTTATATTATGTAGGATTATTTTTACATCAAGTATAAGTATGTATATTAGGGTACTTTTTTTTTTTTTTTTTTTTTTTTAAGTAAAATTTATGAAAATGACAGCAAAAATAGTTACTTAATTTACTTATTTAGTAAACTTTTATTTTTTATATATATAAACCTAGTAATATATTGTTTCTCATGTAAGTACAAAGGACATGGGTCATTCAAAAGCTTACATCTTCTGGCATTTCATATTAATTTTATTTTACTATAGGTGTTTTATTGGATTCTTTTAAGTGCGTGTAGTACTAAGTAAAAGAAGTTTAGGTTAGAATTCATTTTATTTAACTACAATTTTAATTACAACTTTCAAATATTTTCATTGTTATTTTTAATAGACTATATTACTTTATAACAGAAGGAAATGTATTTGAAAATACTTATAGTAAGTAAAATTATTTTTCCATATCAAAGTATATTTATATTACGATTTTTAAACTTTTATATTTAAATATTATTTAAGTAATATTTATGGCACTTACTGGAAAAATAGCTAATTCATTTCTCAGATTTAGTAAACTTTATTTATTAATTAATTTATTTATGTATTTTAAATATATATAAGCTAAGTAATAAAGTTTCATATGTATGTACAAAGGACATGGGTTGTTCACCAGCCTACATCATCTAGCTTTTCGTTATAATTTCATTTTTCAGTAGGTTTTTTATTGGATTCAATTAAGTGCCAGTAGTGCTTTTTTTTAGAGGTGTTTAGGTTAGCATACATTTTATTTAACTGCAATTTTTAAAAGATGCTTAGGTTAGAATTTGTTTTATCTACAATTTTAAATACAACTTTAAAATATTTTCACTGTTATTCCAATAGACTTTCTTTTTTTTTTATAAAGAATTGATATTGATAATTATTTTAAATCAATTAATTTATAATATTAATGCTCTGTAAATTTACACTGAGCACTATTTTGTAAAAATAAAAATATCTATAAGAACACCGGATTGTATATCTTACTGTTCTTCCTTTTTATTTTTATAATATATATATATATATATATATATATATATATATATATATATATATATATATAAAAAGAATTAATATATTTATTTTTAATCCAATATATTTATATCAAATATAATTCAGGATCGGTAACCTTTTGCTGAGTATATGCCAACTTAAAATCATTCAATGTGCCAACAGCAGATGTATTTTTATACAAGTCAAAATCAATATACCTGTTCAACAATATATTTTATATAGTAATTTATAGTATATATACTTTAATATATATTAAAATTGAAACAACTAAATATCTTTGCATTGTAGTATGATGTCTTGTGGCACACGTGCCATAGGTTACTAAGCCCTGTACTATAACATTTGAAGTTTTTTATATATATATATATATATATATATATATATATATATAGATAGATAGATAGTGTTTGTGTTGCAATCCATGTTATTGGGTCAAATAGACAACTTTTCCTTTTTATAACCAACTTATGATTTTGATGATGACTTGGCTTGAATAATTTTTGTACAAGGGTTAAAAATCAAGTTGGTTAAATTTTTCATGCTTCAGTCTAATTAAAAGAATAAGAAAACATTTAATTCCTAACTTAGTAGAGTTGTTGAATACAGTATAAAATAATGTATTTTGTAACTATTTTTTGTTGATTTTCTGTTTTTTCTTTTTTTCTGTCTTTCTTTCTCTCTCTCTTTTTTTTTTTTTTTTTTTTTTTTTTTTACTGAAACCCCATTAATATCACTTGTGGAGTTGCATAATGCAGTGTACAACAGAAATACCGCCTACATAATGTTAAGACATTACCTAAATGAAGACACCATTGTAACTAATATCTTACCATTATGTGGCAGGTGTTTCTGATGCACACTGTATTTAGTCAAATTTGACTACAATTACTTTATAAGCAAGTTGCATATTAAAAAAAAAAAATATGCATATGAGTGTTCTGAAAAATTCTTGACTTCACCAAGAAAACAAAAAGAACTTTGCAGTACCCCTGACTCATATATATATATATATATATATATATATATTATTCAGCACTTAATTCAACTTAACCCTGTCCTTCTCTTCTGGCTGATATTACAGAGTACACAGGTATCTGATGCTGACCCACGCATCACCCAACATCCACATACATTCCATGTTATTACCAAAACACATACAGGCAGAACGGAACACGTACTGTCTGCAGGTTCCAAAGAAGAATCAGATAAATGGTGGGAAGGTTTCCAACAACATTTGCTTGATCAAGGTAAATATTTTCCATCTTTTCTTTTTGCACACACACACACACACACACACACACACACACACACACACACACACACACTGCAAAATCTATGATAAAGTGGGAAAATTTTTTCCTATAATGCATTTCATCCTTTCTGACTTCATCAGGCTAAAAGGATATTTACATTGTTGTGATTTATATCCACACATGAAGGAAAGGGTCATTGAAATTTTATTTTATTTTTATATTTTTTTAAATATGTCTTTCTAGCTGATTTTGTTTAGTTTCTTTTTCTTTATGGTTTTATACCAGATGACAAAATTTAAGTTTTCAGTAACCCCTCTCTTTCATGCTCATGTGTAATCATATGAACATAAAAATCACTTTAGTTCAATGAACCCCTAAAAGACGAAACATGTCAGATGAAAAATGTTTTCTACTTTGTCATAGATATTCCTAAAAAAATTTCACATATATGAAAATTTATATATTGTTTCCGATATATAACAATAACATCTTTTTTGCTCACTGAAACACAGACATATTAATTGGAGTAATTTTCCTGGCCTGGGCTCGCATTTCTAATCAACATGCTCCTTGATAATCTTGATATTTCTCGACTTGCAATAACAGCTCAGAAGATATTTTGAAATTAAAGAAAAACCAAAGACAGTCATTTCAAAAGAAAATAATAATTTTAATTTCTGTGCTAAAGGGTTATCATTGTTTACATTGGAACTGATATCCTTATCTTTTCTGCTATTATTACAACGTTTCAACCATTGTGTCTTTTGGCCTTCTTCAGCTGTCTATTTATCTGTGTAACCTTGAGGTAATTTTAAACTGATCCCTTTATTTTATTAGATTCTTCTTGTTCTACTGTCCATATCCAAGAGATATCTTGTTACTATTTAGTACTGCCCATTTATTGTTCACCCTAAGTCTGCACTACCCAACCCAGAGATTGGATTCCCAATTACCCAGGCACCAAATTCACAAACCAATACATCATATTGTGATAAAAGACTTACTAATTAACCCATAGCTGGAGGAAGAAGAGGTGGATTCATACCTTTTGTGTAAATGAATATAATGAACCCAACTGGAACTCTGTTCTCCAATTAACAATTCCAAATCATTATCCATTACACCACCTGCACATCCAGGTTTACAGCACCTAGTATTCTCAAGTGGTCACCCATCTTGTTACTGACCAGGCTCAATGTTGTTTAACTTTAGTGATCATAGAGGAGCCAGTGTTTCAATATGATGTGGACATAAGCATTTGGATTTTTGTGTATCACTTGTAAAAAGGTACAAAACTCTTTTATTAAGTTCTTAATTAGTAATAATTAAACTTTTTTTTTTTCTTCTTGTTCAGCACTTTGGAAACATGCCACAGAACACATGATGGTCATTAAGAAGGCATCACCACTCAACCTCCCATTATTTCTACGAAAGAGTTCCCTCTATGATGACACACCCATTGAAGGTAAGGAAAGAAAGTAAAAAAATGATCTCCACACCATTTCACCTGTCTTTTAGTTTATTTAAAGTGCAAAAAATAAAAATCTATTTATTGAGTCTTTCTTTGTCTATAAATGTGACCAATGTTAAAATTTGTTTGCAAGCCCCCCCCCCATAATAATTATTCAAAAGATATCTGTCTATATTTCTGATATGACATATTGTAACTACACTATTTGCATTGTTCAGACTATTGTCCTCATCTTTATTGTCATATTCATGATGTTTCAGCCATTGTACACTCTGCCCTTCTTCAGGTGATATATGTTGGAATTTCAAACCGAACCCTTTTAGTCCACTGGGGTAGATTGTTCTACTTCCACATGTCATGCCTTTTCTGAACATCTTTGACTCAGTCACTTCCCTTTAGTAACTTAACTCTCCAAGTTTCTGCTCACTTTTGCCATGTCCCCAAGGACACATGACCCAGTGGATAAAAGTGTTGGTTGAAGTGATCCAGTGACTTGACCCAAGGAGTTGTGAGTTCAATACCTGGCCATGGCAAGCAACTAGCCTAAAATGATCAGATCTATTCAGTAATATAATACATGCAGTGGAGAGGGGAAGGTACAAATTCCTTGAAAAGATAATCCTACTTCATTTTTCATTTCTCATCTCATTGAGAAAGGACACAGGAGGTGTGTCTGAAAATTTTCATTTTTCACATCTTTCTCACTCTGCTTCCATTTGGTCAATCTAATCTATATAATAAATACCATTGTCACTGGGTCACACTTTTCCATTTTACTCTTAGAGGTTGTAGCCCAAACCATTTTGGAATCAGGCCGACTCCATGAGCAAATTAAAAACATTCTGGGATTGATTCTGACCTGCAGTCCTGAAATTTTGGATTCCCAAGATTTCATTACTGCATTTTTTTTTTTAATGTGATTTTTTGCAACAAATATTTTTGCACAATAAAAATTTTTATAACTTGGAAATAAATTTGGGAATAATCAAAATTAATTACAAAATCCAATGAAAATCACCCATGAAATAAAAAGAATGTTTTTTATAGAAATTAAGGACCTATGTACATCAAATTGTCTTTAAATTAAGTGGCAGCAGAAGAATTGTCATTGAACTTTTAAATAGTCATCTTAGATATTAATGCAATGTTTAAATGCAGCAATAACTTTTTGAGTTCTTTAGTTTATTGTTGCCTGTCACATTTATTTCTCCCTACCTATTGTGATGAAGGCCCAATGAAGAGCATTCCACATGAGGGGTAGGTTAAATGCTGCCTGATATGGTGTCTTTTAAGCTAATATATAATAAATATTATTAGTCTTATTATCAATATTATTGTTTTTGTTGTTTTTTTGTTTTTTTTATCTCATGAATTTCTTTCAACGGCCAACTATATGTGTTTAAAATTTTAAATCTGCAAAAGGAAGCCCACTTGTTATCAGAAATGCATGAAAAAAAGAAGAAAAAATAATTATGAGTGAAGCTAAACTCGCAAGCCATTAATTCTTTCTTTTTTTTTTTTCAGATCCTGAACATTTGTGTGACTCTCTAGTTGAGAATATGGATGACACGGAGTTGACACAGATGATTAGGACTATGATGGGTGAAGCTCAGCAGATCAGGGGAGAGAGCAAATAAAAAGAAAAAATGAAAAAGGTGGAGAGTAAGACATAGATGCAAAGTGGGGGTGGTATTTTGGACACCTTCTTCACCCTTTGGATGGGTGGGGGGTGGGTGCTTGGAGGATTTGATAGAAATGGACCAGGAAGGTTTAATAAAAGAGCAGAATGATTGGCAGTGGGGTGCATTAACTGTGCAATTTGTTGGATTATTATTTTTTTTTATTTCTCTTCTGGTGAGGAGAACATTGTTTATTGTGTTCCTGAAAAAGCTGAAAGCATTTACTCATGACAGCAGCCACACACACACACACACACACATAGATCTATATACTTGTAAAATATAAAAGACCTGAATGATGTACTTGAAATTGATATTTCATCTACAAACAGGAAATAATATAAATTCTGTTAATGATTATTCACGTCCTCTTTATAATATCAGATAAAAAGATGTGGATAAACAAAATGGCAATTATGACAAAATGATTGCCACTTGTTTGTTAATTAAACTTCGCTCCTCGTAGTCTCTTTCATCCATATATATATCTCAAATAAAGACAAGCAGAAAAACTATTCTTAGACAATGCGTTTTGTCCACTATGGGACTTCAAGGCAAATGTAGGATTTATTTTGTTGCATGTGTTTATATAGAAAGGAAAGGATGTCATTGGTTTACCAAAGACCTTTTATCTGCCTGATGTATATTCATGGATGTTATCAAATTTAAAAGCCTATGATAAACCAATGACATCCTTGCTCTTGTATATAAACATGTGCAACAAAATAAACCCTACAATTGCATGGGGATGAAATGCGTTGGCTAAAAATAGTTTTTTTCTCTTGTCTTTTTATTCATTTTGTTCTTTTACAAATACATTCTATCTGAAAATAATTTAAAACACACACACACACACACACACACATATCTATATATATATATATATATAGTGTGTGTGTGTGATGATTGTCATATATCAGATATGTAGATATTTACATCTGTGTTCCTATGACAATATATACAATGATGATAATAAAAACTTCATCAAGTGTCATCCAATCACCATATTTGGAATGGAGATTTTATTTGCATTTTACAACTTTGGCCTTTCTTTAAGGAATTTAAATTTTATGAATTCAGAATCCTTTATCTTTTTACATCCGTTTTCAGTTAGCATATGTTTTTTAAACCAAATTTTATATTTAAAAAAAAAAACAACAAAAAGAAGTTTCTCTTGGGAATTACCTCACTAAATGCTGCCCGGATGATCTGATTCTGCCATCAAGTGACAGTTGCCTCTGGTTGGGGTGAAAAGCCCAAGAGAACTTTTCCTGTTAGAAGTGAACAAAAGCTGTCACTCTGACTCGATTGATTTTATGGCTGCATTTTGTTTTATAAAAGAAAAAACAATGTAAATATTGCAGAGATTCTAGTTTCTTGTAAAAATGAGTTTTATGATAATTTCTTATCGTTATTTGATTCCATTTGATCCAATGAGGAGAGACAAAAATGATTATTATTGCAATTAAGATAAGAAATAATTATAATGGTACAATTACTTTTCATGTTTTATATTTCCCTTATTAAAATTAACTTTTCTGATTATTTAATTAAATCTCTCTTCAAAAATTTAAATCAAGTCTGAAATGCTTGCAAATTTTTTTTTATTACTCCCTCTGTTCCATGAGAGTTTTTACATTTGCGTACACTTTTTGTACACTTAAATATCGCAAATGTCATATCAGACAGAAGTAGATTTTCTTTCTTTCCCCCTCCCCCCCTCTCAAGCCTTTATTTGTCATCATGTCAGAGTTGGTATGTGGCTTGTCTGGTATGCGACTCCTAAGAGTTTTTTTTGAATTTCACAAATTATTCAATGTTCAATCCCAACTATTGTTTTTTTCCTTCTCTAATGTTGATTAGTAATTTTTCCTTCCACAGATAGAGAGAAAAAAAAAATGTTATCCTCTAAAAAAAAAAAAAAAAAATTTTTTTTTTTTTCTTTTTTACTCTGTTTTTCTCTCCCAAGATCCACAGGACAACAGATGATTGAATTTTGCAAAGAATTTGAGAATTGACCTTTTGTTTCTTCATAACTTATATATTTTGATGTATTACCTGAGACTCATGTCTTACTTTGTTCAAAGATCAATAGATTTAAATCTTTTTTACCATATTCTCCACTGAACAAGTCCAGTCAATCAGGTTTTTCATGATGCTAAGGCAAGTACAGAATATATTCTGTTCCAAAATAGTTTCTTTTAGCCGCCACCCCCCCATCCAAGATTATTGACGCTTGGAGTAAAAATGTAAGAATTATAAAACCTAAAACTATCTACAATTGTTGAAGTTGTTTTAAACATTCTAAGAGAAAAACTTAAATGTAATTATGTGTGAATAGACTTCATGGAAAGGAAACAGTTCAGAAAAAAAAATTATTGCAAGTATATTTGTTTTTATTAATGCTTTTACAAAAAGCATGAATCAAGTTTTCCCTGTGATCTTATCCAGTTGCCAGATTAACAAAGGGTTTTGTTACTGGCATTGATAGAAGAAAGCAGTTGATTTAGTAAATGAGCAAACCACACCCTCTGATTTACTTTGCCCAGACAGCAGCAAAAACAGATGACCCCACCCCCCAAAAAAACCCACATATTCCAAATACTCAAGCCTTTTTACAATTCACTTTTTTCTTATTGGAAATGAAATCTGTATCTGTCTGAGGAAAGAAAGACTTTTCTTTTCTTCTTTTTTTTTTTTTTTTTAATCTTATGAAAAATTTTACCCAGCATTCATTTAAAACATTGAATTATTTTCCCTAGACCCTATTTAGATGTGAAAATATTAATAAAATTAGTGTAAAATAAACAACTTTAAACAATTTGAATTTCCTTCTACAGATCCATATTGTTTAAATGAGTAACTTGTTCCATTGATAAAATCAAACACTTGAAATTCAGACTTTTTTTTTTTTTTTTTTTTTTTTTGACTTGTGGACCAACAATGTGAAGCATGCTGAATTTCATAACAGTTTACAACTATTTTCTCTTAAATGAATATTCCATTCATTAAGTATCAAATTATACAAATATAGAACTACTGTCTTTTAAGTTTCAAATTCCAAATAAGTTATAAAGAAAATATTTGAATTGTTTTTTTTTTTGTTTTTTTTTGTTTGTTTTTTTTCATTTTATTCAATATTTTCTATTTTGATTTCATGACAATTTTTTTCCTTCTCCTTCATGTGTCTATCATTTGGTCCAGTTCGCTTCGCTGATTTCGGGAAGAATCTTTTCAGTGGTAAAAAAAAAATTTTTTTGTGTTGAAATACTCAGATAACACCTCAAGTTCTGGAATCAACCTGTTAAACCTTTGGGGAGGGGGGGGTTGAAGGTTTGCTTCGATCGACTCACATAGGAAAATAAGAGAAGAGTTCATTGGTTTTTAAATCTATGCATTTGCTCTACTTTAAAACAAGAAAAAATGTTTTTTTTTTAATATTCTACTTTGATGAATGAGAAAGAAAAAAAAAAAAGTGTTGGGTGGGGGTAAAATCCAAAGTGGGGAGGGGATTGATGTTTGTGAAGGGAAGATGAATGGACTTCCGTCAGTGGGGGCGTTGTTACTCTGCCTTTCACCACTCTCCTGCCCCCAACGCATACATTCCCTCCTACTCTTTCAATGCAACCCCCACCCCCTCGTGCCTCACTACTCTCTGCTCACCACTTGCCATCCCCACAGCATCTACTCCACCCTGACCCTGTATTTCTGAATTTTGCCAGAGGGTTGGGAAGTAGTTTAGTGAATGACTTACTTGGTGGGCATCTTCCTTCTCTTGCCTTCAACATGGGAGAAGGAAAATGTGAAGAGAAAGAAAGTTAAAGAAGAAATGACAATTTGAAAGAGAAAAAAATAGTCAAAATGGGAAAAAGATGGAGACTTGAATCCCACAACAATTCTTGTTACATTGGTTATTTCAAAATTTTTTTGAAAGAAATATTACAAAAAAATATCAAAATCAAAATTCCAATTAAATGTATAAGAAAATTTAAAATCCAAAAAAAGGTGAATAAATTATAAAAAAGAAAAAAAAAAGTCTTTGTTTTGAATTTTTTCAGTTTTTCTAAAATGGAGAAAAAAAAATAAGTTTGATCTTTTTTTAATGCAAGAAGGATTTTTTTTTTTTTTAAATATTGAAATGACAAAAAAAAAAAAATCATCCTATGAGCAAGTGTGGCAAATGTAAAAATTTAATGTTTGTCGATTGTATGTGTTAATTATAAACAACACAAAAAGGCTATTAAAAATATGATTTGCAGGTTTATAACATTTATTGATCCTAACAAATAACTTCGATTTATCATCATATACATATGATAAAAGGCAAAATGTGTCTGTTTGTTTATATGTTTGATCGGATCTCCTACATTTTTCAACCAAATTTGACACAGTTACTGCTAATGGTCCTGTGGAGTTTTTGACAGCACCAAAAATTGATTTTTGATTTAAGTCTATTTAACTCAACATTATTGATTTTTCATTTTTGATCGGACACACACGGGTGTAATTATGTGCATTCACTGCACACAAGCAGATATGGGCACTTTTCATGTCAGAATAGCAGTAGCATAATTAGAAAAGTCGGATTTAAGTGCTTATATGGGAATAAGAAAGGACAAGAATGGCCATATTTTGGTTTTGGACGCAAAAGTTATCACAATGAAGGATTTCTGTCGCAGCCGAACTTAGCGCTCTAAAAGCCAATCGGATTATCGTTATTAGTTACGTGTGGCTTGCGCAATGCATAACACTTGTTGCTGATTGGCCCATTCATGCTCCAGGGTCATGCGAGATCATGTGGGGGGGGGGGGGGTCTCGTGTGTGCATCAAGCATCCCAAATGGGGTAGAGGTTTCAGGTAGCCTACTTTTATTTCAGGATTTAACACTCATACCATGGTTTTTTAAAAAGGATCTTTTAATGTTTCAATGCAGGTATGCATTACTTTCCATGTTTTCT